AAAAACTGTCATGGAGTGCCGGGATTTGCAAGTGTAAGCTTATGTTAAATTAATAATTATTTTCATTTTATATTAGAGCATTTTGTTATTTTGTGTTGCAGCTACCTAGGTTATCTTCCGTTTAATAATTGCTTAAACAAGTTTATGTTGATATTATATGATTGGTTAAGGAAACCAGGAAGTGTTTGGTGTTTCCGGGAAGGAGGTGTGTTCTTGTTCGTTCGTTCGGAGGTGCAGACGTTGGGGAAAATAAAAACTGCCTTCAAAGGATTCCATCTCTCCTTTTGCCCATTTTTAAAGTAGAGCTATCCACTGAAAAACTACGAACCTCTCAACTTACATTGGTGGCAACGGTGGTGGTATGTTTTGTGTGGCTTTTTGACTCTTTTTATGCAACGATTTTTTTCTTGCTAATTGTCGTCCTGCTAGCCACGTGGATTGTTATTGCTCTACTGAATGGCTGGTGCTAGTCAGCATTTTTGATGAGGTTTTGAGGTTTCCTGCAGTTGTATTAATTTTTTCCCCCTACCTTTTTTTGGACATTTTTACCATCGTTATTCAACCTTTTTGGGCTCACCATGCCCGATACTGAGACGTCCATGAGTCGACCCACTGCAATGGTTCGTTCTACTGCCACTGATATGGCTGCTGTGAATGTTACTCCACCAGGATGCCTCAACATTGATTTACCACCAGTTTTTGAAGGTGATGGGACTGTGTCCTTTGCCAGCTGGTCTCGACGTTTTGAGGTGTCTATGCAAGCCATGTACAACCAACCATCCGCTGACCTGTCATCTGTGCTGGCTTCAGTTTTACCAAAACGGTTAGCTGAGGCTGCATTTCTGTACTGGGATAGCCTTTCCCCCACAGTCAAGGAGGACTACGGGGCTGTCAAGAAGAGGCTCCAGGATGTTTTTGGTCTTGACCACTCCCTGACATTTTTCCAAACCCATGTCAGTGCTCGTCCCTGCAAGCCCGATGAGAGCCTTGAGGTGTACAGTGCTGACATCACGCGCCTCGTTATAGAAGCCTTCCCTGACTACGGCCGTGTAGCGCAGGAAGGAGAGAAGTTTCGTTGCTTCGTGGCTGGTTTGGACCCTGCCCTGAAAGTAAAGATCCACGAGATGGGCGCGACAGACCTTGCTGAAGCCCTCGTTGTTGCTGGACGCTGTGAAAGAGCACGTGCAGCACTGAACCTTCAGGCTTCATACCCACCTATGCAGACTAAGGACCAGGTGTCAATGACGTGTCCTGATGCTGCTTCTGATAAACTTCTAAAAGCAATCGAACAACTGACATTTAAAATGAATAACCTACAGAGTGACGTCCGCCAGCTACAGGAGGAGAACACCTACCTCAGCCAGCGCTTTGACCACTGGGCCAGTCACCATTTTCCATCCGACCATCGTGATGAATGCCAAGCCAGAGCCTACTACTCACCTGACAGACACTACGTTCAAACTCCAGAGTTCCATCGCAGGCACCATCCAGACTCACCTGAGGTCCGACAGAGCAGACGTGATTGGATCTCTGATGATGACCGCCCCCACCGCCATTCCCCAAGTAGATGCAGCGGGAACTCTCAGGAGGAT